TGTCAAAATCCTCCTTGGGCATCCATATCCACCACCTGGACAGACTCCATCCCCAATGCATTATATCTCGATGACGGTTTCCTCTTCAGGCCAATCCTCGTGGCCGATCCCGCCAACATTGCATTGCATTGCATCGGCAAAGGATCTTCCAAAACCTTCCTCCTTTCCATTATTCGATGAATACGATTTCAAGGATAACAAGGCCCCGGCCACGCAATTGCTGCGGTCGGCAAATAGGGACAAACCAGTCGGAGAGAATTGTAGGCTGCAGCTCACCCAACTTATTGCTTAAAGACTCAGGTTTGGACAACCGACACGGGGGGCAAATCCGTTGCGAGCACAGAGATTGGGAACTTGGTGCACCTGTATGCATCAGGCGGCATCATTTGGAAATCGTTCGATCATCCGACCAACATATTGGTTCGTGGGCAAAAGTTGTGCAGTGGACATCCAATGCTTCGGTTTGCTCGTGGCCAATACTATCTCGAAATGGATCCAACTGCAGGCTTCGGGTATCTTGCCGCATACCCTCCGCTTCAATACTATAGCTATGTGGATGCGGATGAGGTCGAAGGCCCTGTTGGAAATGAAAGCGAAAGCACCTATATTGAACTCATGAATAGGAGTTTGCCAAGTCTTTGGACAATGGTAATAAATCGATCTGCAGCTTTCCAGCCAAGGATCCGCTTCAGTTCATGAGGCTGGAACACGACGGGCACCTCAGGTTATATGAATTCGCTGGAGATTGGCAATGGAAGGTCGTCACTGCCAATGTATTATACGAGGATCGATGCCGCTACCCACTAGTATGTGGGAATTATGGGCTCTGCAAAACTTGTCAGAGTCTTTGGGACCTGAAAGATAAGGAGTTCCCTGATCGTGGATGCAAAGAAGTCACCCCATTAACGTGTCACGATCCCTCCCATCACCACCTAGTGGAATTAATGAATGTCTCTTACATCGGGCTCATTTACACTGACGCAGGGATAAATGATTTGGAGCAATGCAAGCAAGCAAGCATGCATGCCGTAAGAATTCCTCATGTAGAGCTGCATTCTTTGAGCAGAGCAATGTTGATCCATCCGTTACCTTCTGCTACTTACCGCCACAGGTGTTATCCCTTCGAATTAACGATCCTACTACAGATTTTAAGAATTTTGCTTTTCTAAAGGTACAAGGCCAATCCATAAACCTACACTTCTGCCAAGAAATCATAATGGAAAGATGGTTTTATCCGGCTCTGTTCTTGGAGGTCTATCATCTATCATACTAGTGGAATTCGTATGTACAATGGTATGGTGGCGCATTAAAGCTACAGGCAATGAAATGGACGAGGGAGGAGACCATTCGGAGCAAAGAGTACCTGGAGCACCCACCCACGAGATATTCTTATAAGGACCTCCGCTCCGCAACCGACCAAGATTGGAGAAGGGGGATTTGGGTCAGTTTTTGCGGGGACGCTGCACGACGGCACAAAGGTTGCAGTGAAGTGCTTGGACAGCATGAGGCAAGGGAAGAAGGAATTCTCGACAGAGGTAAGCGTAATAGGCAGCATTCACCATGTGAATCTAGTTAGGCTGGTAGGTTTCTGTGTAGAGAAAGCTCATAGACTATTGGTTTATGAGTACATGCCTGACGGATCCTTGGACAAATGGATTTTCTTTGACGGGAACCATGAGAGGCCGGCACTCGACTGGATAATAAAAAAAAAAGATAATCCTTCATGTACCAGAAGGCCTCCAATACCTTCATGAGGAATGCTTGCATAAGATTGCTCACTTGGACGTAAAGCCTCACAATATACTAATGGATGAGTCCTTCAATGCCAAGATCTCATATTTTGGTCTTTCGAAGCTCATCGCCAGGGAACAAAGCCTGGTGGTGACCACCTTGAGAGGAACAATAGGCTATCTTGCGCCCGCCCGAATGGAGGACATCCAAGATTACTGAGAAGGCCGATGTGTACAGCTTTGGTATCGTGATAATGGAGATTGTGTGTGGAATGAAGAACGTTGACCACTCTCTTCCTGAATCAGCTGAGCATTTACTGAGTCTCTTGCAAGGCAAAGGCCTTGAAGAGATCCCAATCGACATCGAGGAGGCCAATACTGGAGAGGCTCAAAGGATGTTGAGAATTGCCACGTGGTGTTCGCAAGAGGATCATACAAGGAAGCGACCTATGTCGAGGGTTGTGAAAGCTTTGGAGGATTCTTCAATGGAATTAGAATCTGATATGAATCAGTGTTTCTGATCATCCACTGTGTGAAACGGCAGGCAATGACCAGGTCTCCCATGCACCATTACCTTGTGTTTTATCAGGACCCAGGTAAGCACCGTTATCAAATAAACCCAGCTCAAATCTGATTTGAACAATTGGAACGACTTGGTACTACGTACCACTAAGAAATATGAGATTATTGATCTACCGTTATTTTACTTCATTTATTGTGTTGTCACCTCCTCACACACAACGACTTGCTACTACGTACCACTGAGCCAAAGGCTACAAATCTTTCTCTGCAATTTCTCTTTTGGAGCTAAAACACACTCTCTCTCTCTCTCCCTCCCTCCCTCCCGCTCTCTCTCTCTCTCTCTCTCTCTCTCTCTTTCTCTGGGGAATTCGAGTTATAAATGAGACTCAGATGATGTGTGCCCACCCCCTTTTCCAAAGTATCTGGTGGATTTTTGTTGTTGGTGAACTTTAAGACGTTACCAGGGATAACATTTTTAATATATTGATAGTAATGCGTATTAAATACCTACTTTTTATAAATATACACCTCAAAAACCTATCGAAAATGTTATTTTAATGTTGAAAAAGCCTTCCAATCAATCATCTCCATATCGCGATCTATAAATATAAAAAAAGCAAGTTTTGAATATCGAAATTACTCCATCTTACAACACATTATCTAGACTATCCATTTTCAAGATTTTCATATATTTATAGATGTACTTGATTTTAACCATTTTTGGAATTTAATTTTTTTTTAATTAGTATGAAAATAGATTTTAAAATAATACTAAGAATGTTTTACAACAAAATTACATGTTATGATAAAAATTTTAGGTGCGCCTTAATGGGATTGTTTAAGGTTGCAACCTTATAGAAACTGCACCCATAACTAAAAATAGGGAATCGAGATAATGCTTTATAAAACGGGATTATCTGCAAGGAGACCATTTACCTTTGTGGCTCAACCCGACACCATTGATGAGAGGAAAATTGTTTCATGCAGGCTAGACCGCATGACTACATATGCGGTCCAAAAAGTGTAAATCATCCATATTAAAGATGGATGCAAATAGGTGTTCCATCTAAAAATAATGAAAACTAACAATCCAAATGTTTTCTTACTAAAATTATTATTTTTAATTTTTAAAATTTATTTATTTTTCATATTCATGATCTCCATATTAGAGATTACATATCTGTAAAAATTAAGTCCAAAAATCCATCTCAAAAATAGATTTATTAAGAAGCATGCATTTCTACATATGCAAGCTTCGCCGCAGAGAAACCGGGTCCTTGATGAGAAGCGACAGTGGATGGCCAGTCAAAATATAATTCCAGTTACGGCTGCCACATGTCAGGCTGGGCCGATCCGAGGCCCGCTAGAGCCCAAAATAGTCCTGCCCAGACTAGTAAGACCGGCCCAAAAAATTGCTCGAAAATCCTGGCCTGGACAGAAAATTTACTATTCCCAAAAGACTATTGGGCTGTGCCCGGACCGGCCCATTAAAAAGCCTTTTTTTTCTCTCTCTTCAAATTTTTTTTTTTTGTTTGCTCTTTTTATCTCACTCTTCAAATCTTTTTTGTTTGTAGTAAGCCAAAAAAAAATACGCTAAAATATTTTTTAGAAAACTTAATATTTCAATATAATTTAATATTTCTTAGAAAGAGACATCGGGGTTTTAGAGAGAGAGATTAATGTTTTAGAGAGAGAGATTGGGTTTCTAGAGCAAGAGAAAATGGGTTTTAGAAAGAGAAAAAAATTGGATTTCTAGAGAGAGAATGGGTTTCTAGATAGAGGATGGTTTCTAGAGAGAGAAAGAGAGATTGAGTTCCTAGAGAGAAAGAATGGGTTTTTAAATAGAAAATGAGAGATTGGGTTTCTAGAGAGAGAATTGGTTTCTAGAGAGGGATAATGGGGTTTTAGAGATAGAAAGAGAGAATGTGTTTTTAGAGAGATTAGGTTTTTAAAGAGAGAGAGATAATGGCTTTTTAGAGAGCAAGAGTGATTGGGTTATTAGAAAGAGAGAATGGATTTTTAGAGAGAGAATGAGATATTGGGATCGAAAGAATGAGTCTTTAGAGATAAAGAGAGATTGGGTTTTTAGAGAGAGAAAGAGATATTGATTTTTTAGAGAGATATTAGGTTTTTAGAAAGAGAGAATAGGTTTTTAGAGAATGAAATAGAGATTGAGTTTTTAGAGGGAGAGAATGGGTTTTTTAAGAGAGAGAGAGATTGAGTTTTTAGAGAGAGAATGAGTCTTTAGATAGAGAAAGAGAGATGGGTTTTAAGAGAGAGAAAGAGAGGTTGGGTTTTGAGAGAGAGAGAATAGGTTTTAGAAAGAAAAAAAGATATTGGATTTCTAGTGAGAGAAAGAGATTGGATTTTTATAGATAGAGAGCTAGAAAAAATGGATTTTCAGAGAGAGCAAGAGATATTAGAGTTTTAAAAAGAGATTGGGTTTTTAGATAGCGAATGAGTTTTTAGAGAAAGAAAGAGAATTGGGGTTTCTAGAGAGAGAAAGAATGGTTTTTTTAAATAAAAAAAAGGGATTAGGTTTTTAGAGAGAGAATAGGTTGTAAATTTTCTAAAACACATTTTACCATCTATTTATTTTTATTTTTTGGCTTACTACATAGAACAAAAGTTTGAAGTGTGAAGATTTTTCAAAAGAAAAAAAAAAGCTTCTAAATGGGCAGGCCCGGGCCTTAGGAAACTCAATTTACTCTAGCTCTTGCCATCAGTGAAAATCAAATCGATAGACCACCATTGTTAACCATGCAATCCAAGTCAAAGTCAATGCACAGACACCAGAACTCATCGACACAAATTTGATCACACTTAGCTCAAGAGGATGCAGAGCCAGAATTCCATGTCTCTTTTCAATCCCCTCTTCTTCTTCGCTCTTTGCTATTTCTTATGCCAGGTTTCCTGTAAAATTCCTCCCACGGGGACTATATCCACCATCTGGATAAACAACATCAATTCCGTCCCCTACACATTCAATTACAGTGAAGCTTTCCACTTCAGAGCAATCCTCCTCAATGAAAGAACTAGTCCCAAATTTGCTTGTGGGTTCATCTGCAAAGGTTCCTGCAAAACCTTCCTCTTTTCTATTGTCCCAGTCCGCGAATATGCCCCTCAGTTATTGTGGTCTGCAAATAGGGACAGACCAGTTGTAGAGAATGCTACGCTGCAACTCACCCAAAGTGGCAACTTATTGCTCAAAGATGCGGACGGCACCCTGGTTTGGAATACTGACACAGGAGGCAAATCCATCACAAGCATGAACATCACAGACGAAGGGAACTTGGTGCTCCGGAATGCCTCAGATGGCATCATTTGGCAATCCTTTAATCATCCGACCAACGTAATGCTTCCTGGGCAAAAGCTGTTTGCTGGACAGAGGCTCACTTCCAATGCTTCGGCTTCTGACTGGGCTCGTGGTCAATACTATCTCCACATGAATAAAACTGGAAACTACCTTGCTGCATACCTAGATGGACAACCTCCACTTCGATACTATTTACGTCGATATGACAGCAACTTAACCGGTGAAAATGAAAGCCAAAGCGCCTATATTGAACTCATGGATGGGAGTGTGAATGTTTTGGCAAAGTCGGGTAATGAAACGATCTTGAGCATTCCCGCAACGAAAACTTTTCAGTACCTGAGGCTGGATCACGACGGGTACCTCAGGATATATTACAAATACCCTGACTATGGGACATGGAAAGTTCAGCATGAGGACTTGTTACACATTGACCAGTGCAGCTACCCACTAGTTTGTGGGAATTTTGGGCTCTGCACAGGCGGGGGTTGCAGCTGTCACCACGGAGCTGATGGGCAGACCTATTGGGAGCCGCAAGATGAGGAGTTCCCAAATCGTGGATGCAAAGAAGTCACCCCATTAACGTGTCAGGATCCCTCCCATCACCACCTAGTGGAATTAACAAATCTCTCTTACATCGGGGTCATTGACACTGATGCACAAGTTTCAGTGATAAAAAATTTGGACCAATGCAAGCAAGCATGCCTTAAAAATTGCTCATGTAGAGCTGCATTCTTTGATCCCTCCTTTAACTACTGCTATCTACCGTCACAGGTGTTTTCCCTTAAAAAGAATGATCTCAATGCAACTTCTTTTGCTTTTCTAAAGGTACAAGGCCAGTCCAAAAGCAATCTTCTGAATGGTGCACATGTTCAGTCTACAATCCTGCCAAGAAATCATAATGCAAAGATGGTTATATCCGTTTCTGTTCTTGGAGGTCTATCGTCTATCATGCTTCTGGCATCCATATGTGTGATGGTTAGGATGCGCATTAAAGCTAGAGGGAGTGAAAAGGACGAGGAAGACCATTTCGAGCAGGGAGTACCGGGAGCACCCACCAGATATTCTTACAAGGATCTGGCCTTTGCAACCAACAATTTTCTTACTAAGATTGGAGAAGGGGGATTTGGGTCAGTTTTTGTAGGGACGCTACGCAACGGCACAAAGGTTGCAGTGAAGCGCTTGGACGGCATGCGGCAAGGAAAGAAGGAATTCTCGACAGAGGTAACTGTAATAGGCAGCATTCACCATGTAAATCTAGTTAGGCTGGTTGGTTTCTGTGTAGAGAAAGCTCATAGACTATTGGTTTATGAGTCCATGCCTAATGGGTCTTTGGACAAATGGATCTTCTTAGATGGGAACCATGAGATGCCGGCACTCGACCGGAGAATCAAAAAGAAGATAATCCTTCATGTAGCAAAAGGCCTCCAATATCTTCATGAGGAATGCTTGCATAAGATTGCTCACTTGGACATAAAGCCTCAGAATATACTATTGGATGAGTACTTCAATGCCAAGATCTCTGATTTTGGTCTTTCGAAGCTCATCGCCAGGGACCAAAGCCAGGTGGTGACCACATTGAGAGGAACAATAGGTTATCTTGCGCCAGAATGGAGGACCTCCAAGATTACTGAGAAGGCCGATGTGTACAGCTTCGGTATCGTGATAATGGAGATTGTGTGCGGAAGGAAGAACTTCGACCATTCTCTTCCTGAATCAGATGTGCATTTACTGAGCCTCTTGGAAGGGAAAGGCCTCGAAAAGATCCCAATCAACATCGAGGAGGCCAATGCTAGAGAGGCTCAAAGGATGTTAAGGATTGCCATGTGGTGTTCACAAGACGATCATACAAGGAGGCCTCCTATGTCGAGGGTTGTGAAAGCTTTGGAGGATTCTTCAATGGAATTAGAATCCGATATGAATTACAGTGTTTCTGATCGTCTACAGTGTGAAACGGCAGGCAATGACCAGGTATCCTATACACCATTACCTTGTGTTTTATCAGGACCCAGGTAAGCTCCCTTATCAAATAAACCCAGATAAAATCTGGTTTGAACGACTGGAACTACTATTCTACACTGTGTACAAGACAATGTGTCCTTAAGAATATGGAATTATTAATCTGCCCTTATTTTACTTTATTTATTGTGTTTTCACCTCATCACAGACTCACACACCACAACTTGGGTCCACAGAACCTAGGCCACAAAACTTGCCCTGCAATCTCTCTCTCTCTCAAAATTTATGTTCCATTCTTAGGTCCTCGGCCAGGCCTTTTCCACGTAGCAGACCTCTCTTTTTGGCACAAGTGAGGAAATATTCATCAAAGAGGTAAATGCATGCAAGATAAACTTCTCAAACAGTTAAAACAACTTCTGATGCTCCATCAATTTGGGAACTTCAAATTCTTTAACGATTCACACGCTGAAAACAGAGTAATCTATTAGATGTGTTGTTTTTCTTTCACTACATTTTGTTGCAAACCTTGTATCTTCTTTTAAGGGCCACAGGTTCAGCAATCTCTTGCTCAATGCTACTTTTCGCAACAAATTTATTTTTGAAACTGCTATTTTAAGTTGATCACCAAAGAGAAAAAACGGGCAACAATTGCAAGCATCAACATTACAAACTCTCTGTTTTTTGACACCCGCATGTAAAACGCATGCATGCCCTGTTCCCTTATTGGAATGGACCCTTGGGATGACTTTAGGCATGATGTCATAAGTTTTTGAGCTCATCTAATTAAGATCGGATGGGTCGGAGAATTTTAGATTATATTTTTATTTTATAAATCATTTTACAGTGATATTTGGGCATGCACACCTCTCATAAGGGTGCATGAGATAAAATATATTTCTCATAAATATTTTGTTTAATTTGGAAAACAAAATATTTCTCATAAAATGACCAATGTACCCATAGAACATGCAACAATAGTTTCGCTATTTTTTAATCAGAAATATATTTTTTTTATTTTTGCCTTGTGCACACACTAAAATGAGGGGAAACCTTGTTTTCAGAAAAGAAGATTAAAAACAAAATGGTGCTTGGACCCATTGTAACTAAAGCAATCCTAGCCATCTATTCAAATTGGATGGATGGGAATAGAAAGTCACATAATTTATATGTGAGTGCCGCCGCCGTACATAAAGTTCTCCCTTTACCACTTATATATATGCCACAATATCCCACTACAATATTCTCTTATTGCTCTAATGTGTCCATTAATCTGTAGAAACTATAGATTACGATAGAAACTATAGGCAGAATTTTAGAAGATGCAGGGGCAGGGCCATGCAGCCATGCTATAGGAGTTCTGAATATCAGTCTTTAGTGGCAAAGCAAAGCTGTCTTTTCGAGCTTGCATAAAGCTAAAATGTCTTTTCTCTTGGGCATGTTTTGTTCGTGCGAAATCTCCATCAGGAAGTGTGAATTCTAGCAAGCGGCTTTATCATGTTTAATTCATGGGAAAGGGGCATCCTATAAAGCAGAAATGTTGGTGTTGGTATCACATATCAGCAACATTTCTTAGAAAAGTAAATTCATACCTTGTAAGGTATGATTTTCGAGATTTCAACCAACCAAATGTGTTTACTCTCAAGACACAATAAACAAGAGAGAAGAAAGAATTTAAGACGGGTTTAATAGACTTAGGCACCTAATCACCAAACCAAAGGCAAAAAAAGTGAAAACTCCAAACGCCATTCTTACTTAATTGTAAATTTCTATTGTCTATCTGGCGACGAATGAGTACAACCTGATTTTCCATGGATTAGGATTTGAAAACACATCCTAAATCACGATGTATGCATTTCTGCATTACATCCATGAATTTGCAGCTCTAAAAATAGTAGAGATATAATGGTCTAAGAAGAATTAAAATGAAAGTGCACATAAAAAATCTAGCATAAAAGGCCGTTTCGATGTTGGAAAACTCTCTAATTGATTATCTTGATGTCGAGATTTATGTATATGAAAAAAACAGATTTCGAGTCTAAAAAATCATGCATCTTGCAACTTGTTATTCGGACCATCTATTTTCAAAATTTTCCTATGTTTATAGATCTACTTGATTTGAACTCTATTAGAGTTTAAAATTGTATAATTAGAGATGAAAATGGATTCTCAAGCCATCTAAAAAAATTTACACCAAAAGTACATTTTATGATAAAATTTGGATACACGTCTTACTTTGATTGCTTAAGGATGCAACTTTATGCAAACCTTAAACATTTTTGGTGTCAAAATTTCTTAGATTTTAAGGTGCACCTCCAAGCTTTTTCATTAGATGCAATTTTGGTGTCGAAAGTTTTTAGGATGGTGCAATAATCTATTTTTATCTTTAACTATAAAACTTAAAACTCTAAAAATAATTCAAATCAAACAGATCTATAAATATATGGAAATCTTGAAAATAGATGGTCTAGATAATGTGTTGCAAGATATATTATATTTAGGACTTAAAATCTCTTTTTGTCTCCATGTCTAGACATCTCGATGTCAAGGTGACCAATTAGATGTTTTTCCAAAATCAAAAGAACCTTTTTCAAAGGATTTTAGAGGTATACCATTGTTCTACATTTCAAAGTGTCAAACTTATATAAACTTGTATTCGATCCTTTTCATTAATGCAACACTAATCACCCTAGAATTAAGGTTATGCATTGAGAGTGACTTCCATAATAATTGGTTAGTACACTAAACTCCACTATTTTTAATTAAGGAGGCTAATATGGTTAATCATCTATTTCTTTAGTAATCCACTTAGAACAGAGGGTATGAGAGGATAAAAATAACGCAAAACCCTGGTGTTTCCCTCCATTTTTTATAGATGAGAGAATAAAAAGTCAGTAGCACATTAGTAAAAATAAAAGAAAAAAGGTTTACGTAAGTCATCAACATAGGATAAGTAAGAACATTTCAAAAATCCAATAAAAAGGTTATTTTAATGTTAGAAAGGCCTCGAATGGATCATATCGACATTGAGATTTATAAAAAAAAAACCCAACTTTCAAGAACCTCGTCTACACCTTTTTTCTTCATTTTCGGATTTTTTTAAACGAAAATGACTTTCACGGTAGTAGTTTTACCATAATATATATTAAGTTTTATGGTAATTAAAATACCGCAATAACTTGAGGTAATATTACGGTAATTAAAATACCGTAATAACTTAAAGTAGTATTATGGTACTTTAAGTACCGCAATAGATAATATTTTCTTTACGGCATTATTTCTATTGTAATTAGGCACCATACATGGCTTCCTTCTCGACCAACGAGGGAGAGGAGAGAGAGATGAGACTTAGGAGAGAGAGGGGTTTTACATATGAGAGAAAGAGATTTGAGAGAGAAAAGTGGCGTGGAGAGAAAGAGAGAAAGTTTAAGAGCAGATGTAGATGAAATAAAGATAAAAACGGGTGAGAGAGTTGAAAGAGATAGAGATGGTTTGTTGGGGGGATTGAGAGAGATAGAGGAGGAAAGTTGAGAGAAAGAACAGTACGTGGGATTAAATATGCTGTATAAAATGAGTTAAATATTACGGTAGTTAAAGTACCGTATAAAATGGAAACATTACGGTAGAAAGAATGCCGTAAAGAAAATGTTATCTATTACGGTACTAAAAGTAACATAATACTACTTCAAGTTATTACGGAATTTTAATTACAGTAATACTATTTCAAGTTATTACGGTATTTAACTTGCCGTAAAACTTAATATTAATTACGGTAAAACGACTACCGTGAAGGTCATTTTCATCCAAAAAAACTCTGAAAAAGATGAAAAATGGAGTAGACGAGGTTTCTGAAAGTTTGGGTTTTTTTTTTTTTTTTCCAATTAAGCTAAAATACAGGTATATTTGTAATAATTACTCTATATTATTTGAATTGTCTACTCTCGACATTTCCAAATGTTAAAGAGAATTACCCAATGTGTACCATTCTTTTGGTTTTGAATTTATTAATTAGGAGTAAAAATAGATTTTCAAGCCATGTATAAGCATTTTCGACATGAAAACTGCATCTTCCAACATGATTTGGAGATGTGCATTACTCTAATATTTAAGGTTGATGCTTTATATAAACTGTATTCAACAATAAAAGCTAAACGATTATTGCTCCCAGGAGCATATTTTACATTCACTCCCGGATTAAGACCCTAATTGGAGCAATTTTAGAATCCCAAAAAGCCCTAATTGGAGTAATTTTAGAATTCCATATTTAGGGAGGCAACCTCTCATTTCTTACATTCATTCCCTAGGTAAAACCTACTCAAAGTAGTTTTCAGACCTTAAATTTTGGGATTTAACCTTCTCAACCTAACAATCAACTACATTTAAAAAAAGAAACATATGTCAAATTTTTTAACAGTTCGAATTTAAGTGCCTAAGAACTTAAAAAGTCCCATTTTATTTTTTTGAGTCGGGTCATTCTAAATTAAATCCCAATACTTCTAATCAAAGCTTAAAGTAATGACAATTTGGATCACAATTGCCCGATGTAGAGTCCAAATTTCCACCATTTATAATATTATAAGATTATTGAAATTTAGTGTATTTGAGGCAGAGTCACCAATCTGGATCGGCAAGTCCCAATCCGCCCACAATCAATTGGAGACGGGCTTTAAAATACAAATGTAAATGTTCAAGGCATCCAACTCAGTGTTTGCGCACCCGAGGTATCAAACAGTAGATCGTGTTTAGCAAACCTTTGCTTAATCTGAATGTGAATTATCATCGTTCCTTGGGGTGAATAAATGAGAGTTATCGCCATTTGCCAAACAGCCCTCCAGTCCTGGGTTTGCAAACTCAGAACGGCAGTGTCATTAGCATCGGACGAGTTTGGTGTTTGTGCCGCTGGCCGGTTTTGTCCTCTCTCTCTCTCTCTCTCTCTCCTATATTTAACCGCTTCTCTCTTCCCTACCTCTTCCATTGAAGCACCTGCGTCTCTCTCTCTCTCTCTCTCTCTCTCTGCACCTAAGACAAGCCTTTGACGTTTCTCGATCCTGCTAAATTCTAGTGTTATTTTACAGGTACATAAAAACTCCCAAATTTTTCTTTATAGTAACTGTATATCTCTCTTTACGGTTTTTCTCCTCTTTTATTGTAGATCGTAACCTGCAACTTTTGGCTGCTCTTGAAGCCCTTTCAAAATATATCTTAACTCCATTTTTTTTATATTTTTAGGTCTTTGCAATGATCTCTGCTTTTCTTTGTTTTTGTAGAAATTAGGGGATTTTATTTTACTGCTCTGGTCCTCGAAGATTACTAATTTGTTGGAAATTAGTGGGTTCTGGAGTGTTCAGCACTTGGTATGATGAATGATTCTTTTTTTTTTTCTTAGAGATGTGCATATTGAAGAGCTAGGCCTTTTGTTTTCTATTTACCTATCCTTTCTCTTTGTGTGCATGTAGACAAATGCTTGGGTTTGGTTGCCTCTTTTTTTTTTCTGTGCCTTTGAGAATTATTTTTCAGCAAAGTTAGGATTTTGTGTTCATGTGATGGACTTTTTGTGATGCATGTTGTATTTGGTCTATATTTGTTTACACATGGTGATTCTTTTCTTTTTGATGATCCAGCAAGTTCGAATTTTGTTTCCCTTTTAGTTATCCAAACTAAAGTTTGAATTTTTTTTTTTTCTTTTCACGATGAATGTTTTCATGTGCATGTAAGTTTTATCTTTGATCTGGCTATGATCTTTGCGTCTTTAATTGTGCTTAGGGTTTTTTTAGTTGGTTTTATGTACTTGGAATTTCTCTTTAATGGGCGGCTTATCTGTATTTATATTGGTGTCTCAGGATTACTTTATCTATTAAGATTACTTTGTTCAGTACCATTTACTTCTATGATTTTGCTAAGTATATTTTTGGTTTATTCGTCCTTCTAAACTTACTCCCACTTAGGCTTTTGGTCATTGCGTATTACCCATCTCCTGTAAATTTTCTATGAGCCTAGTACTAAATCAATGGGTACATTTTCATCAAATGAGTTCCATCTTATATCAGAATGAGACATGTCGCATATCACAGGCAAACTCATTCCTACCACGACATGCATGTGTTATCAATACTTTCTTTTGGTTATGGCTATTTTTTTGTCTTGTTTTTTTTTTTTTGAAAGGCTTGTTTTTATCATATTTGAAAGGAAAGATTTTGATTTCCCTTTGCATTTGGGGCCTTGCACTTTCTTCTTTCAAACAAAAATTATATGGGTAGGAACAGTTTCTTTCTTGCCGTTTGAAGTTGTGATAAAGTCGAGTACTTCAACTAGACCGTACTGGTTGGTTTGATCAATCTTTAGTGAAATCAAACCTTGAGAGGCCAACAAAGCCCCTTGATAATTCTACATTTTGTGTTTTTGGGGATAATGTAGTTTTCAACTTGGCATTGATGCCTTCTTGCTTTTTCCTTCAAATTTGTCTTAGAAAAACAGAGTCATCAAGTAATGCGAATGGGACCTTCAAATTATTAGATACTGCTTGGTTGTCCAATAGTTAATATATCTGAGAGTTAATTCTCATGTATTTTCTCAGAATCCTTGAAAGATAAGGTTCTCACAGAGGTCTCAGACATAGACAGTAATGAAAACTACCACTTCGGACCTTATCGAGGGCATCCTGTGGTTTGGAACTCGAAATTTTTTAGTTGAGTTCACCTTTTGAGTTTTGACTTGGCAAGTCCTATAACTTTTTTTTATTCCAAAACAAAAATCAGAAACATAGTTTTTTTTAAACTAAGTTTTATTATAAAAAGAAAACAACACTAATAAATTCACGGTAACTTGTGCAAGTTCTTTAGTATGCGATGGTGTGTCAAGTTTCTTTGTGTTATAATTTCAAAAGCCTAAGTGCGTGAATAGGCAGTTTCCACAAAGGCTATAGATAGTTAGTTAAACATGATGCATCCAAGTATTTTTGTTATGGATATGACTCTATGTGTGCTTCCATGTTATTATGTGTGTGTTCGTCTGTGTTTGCATGTATCACTGACCTAGTCTGGTTAGTGAATTACCTCAGTCCCTTTATAAGCGGAGGGCATCCTGTAGCCTATAGTTTCCCAGAGATGTTGAGCTTGTTAAGTTCTGCTTACTCATTCACATGGCCCTAATGCATTTGAGAATACTTGGCCAAAGACAGCATTTGTCGGTTGGAATTGTATCACCCTACAGTATCCATATTGAGATGCCTCCTTGGTGCATTTGTCTTTTGTTTTGTGTTTGTACCATTTCCTATTAGTATGCTTTTACTTGAATGAAAGAAATCCAGAGTTAGCAGTAGAAATTAGTCATATATTTGCCTAAAGAATCAAAATAATCATACTATATAAATCTGGTTCAAGGACGTTCCACTGGTCCCAATATCTTGAACAAATTATAGACTGATACAATAATTGTTTGTGATGTTGGGGGCCCCCAATAGATGTCTAACGAGTTGAAGAAAATGTCTTAGATTCCCATGGAAAACTTGCCTTGGACAAGTAGGTAGTCAACTATCATCTTCCTGCCTATAAAAGTGAATTCTCTTTTCAATGGGCCCAGGCTTAGTATTAACCTAAAAAACTCCAAAAGCTCGAGGCTTAAATAACTCTTTTATTGCACCAAATTTCACCCTAAAAAGTATACTCTTCCTACCTCCGCAATAATCTAGAAGAAGCCACCTTCTGCTGGTGATGATAGGTAAACAGATATAAGGACTGCTTATGCTGTTCAGTTATAAGAAATAGTTGAAGGAGAAGTGTTACTATTATTTTGTTGTTGACGCTACTGTATAGAAGCATGGCATGCATGATCTCTCTCTCTCTCTCTCTCTCTCTC